CCTTGCTTTGTTCAGCAAACGTCTTGCTTTAATAATCAGGAATATGACTACAGTATAAAACTGTTCACACTAAAAATAAATCCAGTTAAAAGCAAAATATTTTTGCGTTTAATCGCAAATTATTTTTGCGTTTAAACGCAATAATATTGCGTTTAAACGCAAAAGTTTTGCGTTTAAACGCAAAAGTTTTGCGTTTAATCGCAAAAATTATTGCGTTTAATCGCAAAAGTATTGCGTTTAATCGCAATATCATTGCGTTTAAACGCAAAAAGTATTGCGTTTAATCGCAAAAATTATTGCGTTTAAACGCAAAAATATTATTGCGTTTAAACGCAAAAAGTATTGCGTTTAATCGCAATATGATTGCGTTTAAACGCAAAAGATTGCGTTTAATCGCAATCTTTTGCGATAAAACGCAAAGTGTTTTGCGTTTAAACGCAATATACATTGCGATTAAACGCAATCTTTTGCGTTTAAACGCAATGATTATTGCGATTAAACGCAATGTTTTGCGTTTAAACGCAATAAAAAATATTTCTTTCTCAAAACTGGCCTCAACGGGCTTCCGTAAGATTTATCCTAATGATGATTGATATTCTAAAGATTGTTTTAAAAGTTTGTTCCACAAAATATTATTTCTGAAAACAAATCAAAATAGGGTTTAACTGTAGAGATAATTTTTTTTCAGTCTGACAGAATTACTAGAATGTGCTTTCGTTTTATAGCAATAAATTGTGAGCAGAAAATTATAGAAAGTTCGTTTCCCAATAAAATTATAAACATATCAAATAACAAATGACAGATTTACTAGCCATTTTGGTGAAAACATAGGATTGGTTACTTTTGTTCCTTTAAAGCTTATCTTGCATCACACAAAGTGATATGTAAAAATGAAGCACATTCATTCTTTTTTAGCCTCTCTGGCCGCTCTGCTATTCGTATGAAGCAGAATTTATCAAAAAACTTTTCATGAGAAGAAGAAAACACTTGCTGTGGCCTTCAACTCGACATTTAGATATATCGATGACGTTTTATTAATTAACAATTATAGTTATCTCCATTTATATGTCGACTCCATTTATTATAGTGAACTTGAAATATAAGACAATGCATAGTCTTCCACATCTGCTTAAATTTGGATGTTTTACTGACTACAGACCGACAAACAACCAATTTGTGACCTCAGCGTTTTCATTATCAACTTTCTTTATTCATGTAGTAATATTCCGCTATCACCTGCATATGGTGTTTATGTCTACCGACTTATTCGCTACTGCAAAGCATGATCTGAGTACGATCAATTTTTAAACCGAGACATGCTACTCACACATAAATTGATGTTACAGGGAACAACAACCTAGTTTAAAGTAAGCTATTCCGTAAATTTTATAGCTGTTATAATGACCTTATAATCAAATATAACCTATCGCCGGGTCGTATTTTGGCTGACCTTTGTTTTTATGCTAAATTTGACTGCAGAATAATCCGTCCACTTGATGAATACATAGGGCACACGGCGGGTGTGACCGGTCCACAGGGATGCTTACTCTTCCTAGGCACCTGATCCCACCTATGGAATTTCCAGGGATCCGTCTTTCTGCCTTGTTCACAGATTTGTATTGGTTGAAGTTTTTATGAAATGGAACATTATTCGTTATCCTCACCCTTTTTCACTTGTTTTTGATCATCGAATTCTAAAATTCATTTTTTTTTAAAATGCATGGGTATTTGAAACCTTATATGGTCTGTGGGCTTGAGATATTTTAACGATATACCAAGTATCTATTTTTTTTTCTGGGCAGGAGATACATTATATTTATTTTAAATATCTGCCCTCACCTTTCCATTTCATACCAAAACACAGTTAAAACATATCAGTAGCAAGAATGAACATCTAAACATGAAGTATCACGAATTTAAAACATCTCATTGTATTTGTTTTCGAAAATAAGGGAAAATCTGGAGTGGGAATGATCCTTCTCAACATCCTTTATAAACATAATAAGAGTAAGCTTAATTATCTGAAACAAAGCTATATAATACGAATAGAACTCATATAGTGACTCTCTACAGCATATGTTCTTCTTTCTTTTTTTTCGAATCGGGGTTTTAATAGCGATTGTCTGTAACCACTTAAACTTCTTGCCACGCATGGTCACCGATTTTGATGAAATTTTACAACCTGACATCAGAAACATATATCAAATAAAATGTCGTTGCTATGTGTCTTGGTTGCCATGGTAACAGCCAGAAAAGTTGGAAAAATTGAGATTTTCAGCTACTTTGAATCTTTATTAAGCCTTAATAAAGACTAAGAAAAAACAAACAAACCATTCTCACCAAACCATGACACCTTGTTGCCACTTATGCTAAAAAGAAACTATTTAGAATATATCTCTAAGTAAGTGGTTACCATGGTTACATTTGGAATACATTTTATATGCTGAAAAATGCTGAAAAACCCTCAGTGATAGATGTTACATGATCAAACTTAATAAACAACCTAAGAAATACAATAAAAATATTTGACCTTAAGTAATTCGGTTTAAGTTATTAGGTATTGGCAATTTTATCAAAAAAAAAACTTTTATAGTTGCCATGGTAACACAGTGTAACCATGCAAAATCTGTTGCTAAGATTGGGTTTATGCTACTATCTTGAGGAAACACAATAAAATTCATGACTGGCACATATACATCCTTAGGAACTTGCAACACCGACAACATAAGAAAAAATGGGATTAATTGTTACTTTGCAGTGTAACCATGGAAATAACGTACCAGTTCTTTAAAATGATATTTCTTTGCTGCTTTAGGAATTTACTTACCTTTTAATCAAGAAACATTTATTTGAACCACCTTAAATAGTACTTATCTGGTAGAACTAAAGTTGAATATCATATATTGATAAAGTTTGAAAAAATACAACACTGTTGCTATGGTTAAAAAGAAGGGAAAATGTTCGATTTTTTTAACTTTATTTCAATATTAAACCGTGTGCCAGCTTTTTACACCCAGTTAGAGATTGGGAGGTGGTAAAAATTGAAAATCAGGTAAGTTGTTTATAAATATCAATCATAAAAGTTTTTGGAATCTACATACAAGGATATGTATCCAAGGAAACAAAATATTTTAAAGATTTTTATGCGTATTTTCGGCTAATTTCCATACCAACGCTCTATTTAGAGATTTTAATTTGAATTTTTTGAAATGTGAAAATTAGGGTCACACCAACGCCTTTAAAAAATTGATCATCAGTTATATGGAAATATGCTTTATAAAAAGATAGGATAAGATTAAAACACTAAGAGAGTAAATTTAAAATCCCTTCGTGGTATTAAAACCATGGCAACCGTTGCCAATCTATAAGAAATATTTCGTCCTTGGTATATGTTACAAAGATCTTTTTTCTAATATTTGCTTGCATTTCAACCTATAATTGTTTTTATTCTAAAGTGTATGACTTTATAAAATTAAATGAACAAAATTATTACTTTTGAATACCTTGATTCCATAGTAACGTATGTAATAGTTGATTTACCAAACATGTTTATCATGCATTTAACGTAGAACCTACGTCGTATGACATCATGTCGAGTAAATGTGCTAGATCCATTATGACGTCATAATTAATTTAATATTTCTTTTTCCCGTACTTTACGGCTTTAATCCAAGACTTCTCATGTAATGAAGTTACACAACTGTGATAATGTGAATGGCATGCAACTATTTTAAAGGAATGCAAAAATCCTAAGAAATCTAAATGGTACAATATCTTGATGAAATGTGTCTGAGTCAAAGATCTGTTAAAGATTGTGTGTGAATTTTGTAATGTCTATCATGAAATGATGTGCATTCCTTTTCACAATTACTTGTTATTTATTCATAATGGTTGGTGTATAATAATAATGTGTCCCTAAAATATTATCTTTTTAAATAAAAATACATATTTTGATAAATATTCACATTGTAAATCTGAACTTAACCCCAAAACAGTCATTTAATGATTAAATCCTGCGTAAGTGCAAAAAGGTCAACAAAAGAAGTATTGATAAATAGTGTCTCTCATTAGTTTGTGGGGAAAGGTATATATTTTAATCACTGTTTGTAATTATTTGGGTATGTTCTTTATCATATTAAAGATTGAAAACATTCTGACAAAGACTTTTGAAAAATATTTACAAATTTAGGTGGTAAATTGACTCAAAAAATATTGAGCATGTTTGCCTATATTCTTGAAATGTGGACTTAATCTTTGATGTCAATTGCATAAAAAAGAATTTATTCTTGAATAAAATTGCTTAATACAGTTCGGTTAATAATGTCTATGAAGGACGATGTCTTAAGAGGTATTTTGTGATTTTCTATATTCTCTTTATGACCAGTACCCCTAAAAATAGCTGAAAATATTGCTTCGCAGTGTAAAATTATCATTCCAAGTTGCACAGACTGCACTACATTTAATACCAAGGAAACATACCATACATTTTTAACTGATTGATAAGCGAGTGCTAATTTATCATTTTGAAAAGTTTGAAAATCTTGTGACAAAGACTTTTCTGACATAGGTTCTACCTTAAGACATCAGGCCTACAATTTTCAGAAACAGTCATTACCACTTGTTTGCTTTGCTGCAAACGTTAACTATGGGACTCTGAACATGTTGAAAAATGCAACTTTAGGACATGTTGCTATGGTAACCATGACACGTAGCAACCAATTTTTCCCTGATTTGAGTTTACGTTATCAAAGACTTTTATCATTGAGTTTTGAGAAATTCTGAGATTATGCATGCCACAGCTCCTATATAAAAGTTCAAGTCATTATAGAAAATGGTTCTTAATTGAGCATAACTAAAGCTTTCATGACATCAACAAAATGTACGTTCATTGTTCCTATTGAAAAAAGATCTTAGATACACAAACAAGCAAAACATTAATGTTACATGAGTATCGAAATGTATGTCACATGTAACTAATTCTAATTCATTTTAATTAACAGATGGGAAACGTACTTACCTCTGGGAAAAGTTATTCCTGGAACAAGGCTGATTACATTTAAAGTGCCACTCAAAAAGGTACGTGTATGGGTATAAAAAATAAAATCTAAAATTATATTTGTCTGTCATGTAAACTGTAGTGTATTTCTAGGCAACGTAAATATAAGTAGAGGTACAGGTGTTAAACATTATTTTTCTTATCTTTTTGTCGTAAGGTCACTTATATTTTTCTTGTATCATCCTATTTTTAAAAATGTACTGATCAGGTAGACGATATGATCCGTTGTCAATTTTTGTATAAAATCAAAGTTTAATCACGTATATTTTCAAAGTTTTGTTGTTAGTTGGCCATTATAGTCAGTAAAACAACCAAATATGAAACAGATGTGACAGACTCTGAGGAGTCTTTTATTTCGAGTTCACTTGGATATATCAAGCCGATTGATAAATCTTCGTTGACATTTTTAGTTACACAGTCATTTTGGGATCTAATACGTAGTTATTTAGAGTGTGAAATGGAAATCCGTATTAGCCGAGGCAAAACTAAGTTGTAAAATACATTCGAAAAATGACCCTTACAAACGAAGACGATATTCTACAAAAATTGTCAGCTGGAACAATTACATATTGTTCATTTAGTCTCCAATTCTTTTATCACTTCCAGTTTAGTGAGAACAGAAGGATAAATGGTTGTCATTTGGCCTTTAACTTTCTAACACGATTCTTTGATAAAATTCTCAAATATTCAATCCGAGTAATCAATTTGAAGATAATATAAAAGTCATATCAAATTAAACAGCTTCTTATGATTAAAATATGCAGTCTTTTTGTAGAATTCTCCTTCATTTTGATTTCAAAAGTTATATGTTTTAATATTCATGTTTTACATTCTTCTAGGCAATGTGTGAAAAATTGCCAGAACACGAACAGTAAGTGTTCCTCTAAGATAATCGTTAGTGTATTCTCCATATAAAGAGAACTTGTTGTTCACATATTTACAAATTTAATTATTTTGTATGTCAGAAATATCTTAAGGCAATTCTTAAGTACAAACAATACATTGTAACTATTAAGAATGCTGCCATTTTGTTTTTTCTATTAGTTTTTATCATTCTGTTCCTAGATTCACTCCAACACATTTGTTGTCCAAGATCCGAGAGGCTGGTTTTGAATTGGGGATGGTAGTTGATCTGACATTCACAAGGAAATACTACAGTCCTTCTGTATATAGCCATTTGGAATATTGAAAATAAACACTAGTATATCATTAGTAATTGTTTGATCTTAACGGGGGAAGACATAAACTGATTTATCCACCCACTCCGAATAAAATATATTTTAAAAACTATGAAAAATACGAAAGTAAACACTCTCAAGAATTTTGAATAGGTATTGACTATTTCATTTCCAAGCTCTCAGCATTAAAGGGAGTCTAAACCCTTCCGAAGAAGAGACTTTAAACCGTTGAAATTTATTCAATGGTAGATACAATGTATAGTTCCTGGCAAGGTCCATAGCATAGGTATACATTTATTACTCCATGACTATGTATTTTATAATTAATGGAGATGACTTGATATGAGTGAAATTCTTGCAGTATATATATATATATATATATATATATATATATATATATATATATATATATATATATATATATATATATATATATATATATATATATATATATATATATATATACTCATTAAGCTTTACCATAAAAGAAAATTAAACATCTGAAATTTAATACAATAAAACTATGAACTTAGGTGTACTTTGTTTAATGAACACAAACACCCAGGGCTTCATATTAATGCACAATAATGTTTATGAACAGTATCTATGTATAACAGAAATTGTACCCTTCCTGAAATTTGTTATTTTCCTGTCAAATCTATTTAGACAATATTTTGAAAAGAATTGTTGCAAAATACTTTTATATGAAATATTTTTCAAAATTCTACACTTTGTTTATTAAGGTGAGCAGGTGTGCATGATTATTTGATAGGATATGATACATATCATAATTTGAATTTTGAATTGATTTTTCTGGTATGCAGTTCTTTCATCAAATGCTTAATATATCGGTACCTAGAATAAGGCCATTTTTTGCAAATTCATTTAAATGTGAATTTATTTGAATTGTCATCGCAGGAATTCCATCATCAAGGCATCAGATATGAGAAGATTTTCACAGAGGGTCATAACATCCCGAACGATGATACGGTAAAGAGGTAATACAAACAAAAATGATGCAAATTTACTGTGTCAGAAAGTGAATGATGGACAGATTAAATAAGATTGGCAAAATTTTCATTTTTAAAACATTGAATTCAACTTTTTTTTACATTGCTTTAGATTTGTGAGTATTTGAATTTACTTTTCTTTTCAAACTTCCAAAAAACGTAGTTATTAGTTATTTAAATAATTTTATTAGCTAGGGTCTAAGCAAATTCAAACATCTTTGAATTAAATGTTCTACACATTTTTCAATGTGTACAAGCGAAAAAATAATCTTATGTTCTTTATTTAGATTTTTCGATGTATTGGAGGGGTTTTATGACAGCAACGTCAACGAAAGTAGGTATTGACATAAAAATCAATGAAGTATAAAATTCCAACCTTTATTTCTGAGCAAATTTCTTTAAAGATAATTTTAAAAAACAGACTGATATAATACATTTTAGAACACGTGGTAGGAGTGCATTGTACACATGGCATCAACAGAACAGGATATTTAGTCTGCAGGTATGTCAGGAATTTCTGTTTAAGTTCTTTCAATTGGATGTACATTCAAACATAATGTTCCCTATCATTTCAGATATATGATAGAAAGACTTGGATTTGATCCAGAGGACGCCATTAAGGGTAAAAAAAATATAATACTTTGATCTGAAATTTCACATCAACACCTTTATTTTTGATAAAATTCTGTGTTAACATCTCCCAACTTATTCCATACGCAAAAGCATGTTCCAAGTACGAACAAGTTTCAAACCAAGGCAGGGTACTAATAGAAAAGTTGATGTTAAGGGATTTCAACAACTTTGTTTAAAGTCAGCATTTCGTAAATTCTACGGTTGCTATAATGACCTTGTTTGCAAATAACGTATAAGGAGAAATTTTGGCGAGGGTGTTGAGTTCCTGAAATGAAATATTGTAACAATGTATGGTTAGCTCTCTATGCATAAAAAAAACGCTAAAATTAATTTTCACTGAAAATAAATACTGTTTTCTTAGGGGGGGGGGGGTGCTAAATTTGCGTCTCGCTAAAATTCCACTTATACGGTATAACTATCAATAGGTCGTATTTTGGCTGACGTGTTTCATGTCAATTATTAGGCCTTTTTTAATACTGAATTTGACTAGGAATGTTCCTCTACCTGATCAATACATAGGACTCACGACGGGTGTGACTGGTCAACAGGGGATGCTTTCTCCTACTAAGCACCTGATCCCACCTCTGAAATTTCCAGGGGTCCCTGTTTTATGCCTACTTCACAGATTTGTAAATTTTTATAGATTTTTCTGAGATCGATCGCTGTTTGTTATCATATATCGACTCGATATATCCCAGTGAACTTGAAATAAAGATACCACAGAGTCTGACTCATCTGTTTCATATTTAGATATTTTACTAGAAAAAGACGTCAAGACGGTAACCTAAAAACAAAACTTAATGATAAACGTTATGACTTCAACTTTTCTATCGTTATCTTCCCTTATTTATGTAGTAATATACCCTTATCACCTGCATTTGGGGTTTAGAAGTCCTAACCACATATATCTTAAGTATTTTACCCTCGATATCTCGAACCCTCAGATATTTCGAAGTTTTATCTGGGTCCCATCGAGTTCGAGATAACGAAGTTTGACTGTATATCCCTGTTGATTTGATATGCTAGAGCATGCTCTACGTACGAACAATTTTTAAAACGAGGCAAACTATTGACAAACAAGTTAATGAAACATGGATATCAACAGTCTCGTTTGAATTCGCAAGTTCTGATTGACGTTTTTCATACTAATTGTAAGGCCACTATTTACACACTGAATTGTCGACGGATTTTTCCGTTATTTCCCGATCATGACAAGAAGCACACGGCGAGTGTGACCGGTTGGCAGGGGATGCTCACTCCTCCATGGCACCTGATCCCACCTCTGATGTTTTGGAGGTCCGTGTTTGCTCTGCTCCTATTTTGTATTGTTCAATGGATTTTGAGCTTGAATACTGTTCGTTACCTCCATATATTTTTACATTTTTCAGTTTACAATGAGTCGAGAGGCTATCCTATTGAAAGAGAGAATTTACTTCAGGACCTCAGAAGAAGAAAAGCGTAAGTGTGTAATGAAACGATGACTTAGAACAGATCTGATAAGGTCACATTCACATTACAAATTTCTAATATTCTGTTTTATAGGACATGTGCATCCAGAGAGGAACACAAGATAAAACAATCGAAAAGGCCAATGGTATTTTGATCAAAGAGGTCTTAGACCTATGAAACAAAATAAGCAAACTTGAACTTATAATATCGGTTTTTTCTAGATAAAGGCTTTAATATATTTTTCAGGATATAATCCTTGTTTGTGTTTAAAATGCTTTTAAAATGATTTAAAATTTAAAATGAACGAGTTGTACTTTTTTGAATGCTTGAGACAAAATGAAGCATAAAAGAACAACTTTGTGTTTTGTATTTTATTTCCAAATACACCGGATGGGATGAGAGAACATAAACAAACAGAGAAGAATAATTCACTTGTCTAGAGAAGCATCACATGTTATAGAAAGTAATTCTTACTTTTGCCCTAAAAACAAAGTGAAACCCTCAAAAATGTCAAACGAAAGAGCCAGAGATAAACAGTAATAAGACTATTTTTAACATGGAGAATTAGAACGTGCTTTTGACACGAGCACATATGCTATTTCAGACTTTCAAGATTGGATTGCCAAAGGTTCTTTTATTTCGGACAAATTTTGTAATTTTGAATTTTATAGGCAAAAATCTTGAAAGAGCAAATTTTGTTGCATCAATCTATGCATCAATCTATTTCTATAAGTCTTAAGGATTCTCTATAGAAAAAAATACTCCTTTATACTAATCATTTTTTTACTGTCCAAAAAGTATTTTCATTAGTTTATAGAGAGTCTAATGGTGCCTGGCAGCGGTAATGATCATGATGGATAATTTAAAACTCTTTTTCACCAACTAAATATTGTGGTCACCAAAAAAAGTTAACATCACAAAAACATAATCGTGGCAAGAATAAATTCTGGCAGAAAGGTAAAATTTGTGGCCATAAAATAAAAATACTTTGGACAAATTACAGCATACTTATTTTGTATATAATGTAAACCTGGACCTGGTTCCAAATTCTGTCTAGTCTATATTGCTAACTCTACGTATAAGAACAGCAAGATTTTTGTTGGAGGGGGAGAGGATAGAAAACTTTTAATTTAAAATAACGAGAACAATTATAATACAAATCATAAAAATGAGCAAGACAGTTACATAAACGACAAAATTTAATTAACAACAGATTTTGCAAATTATAATTAAGTAAATAATGAATGTTTTTGACATTGTAAACGTAAGTAAAAAGCAAAAATTCATTTTTTTTTTCTTTTTTTCTGTTTTTACAATTTATAAAATCTCAAGGCATCACTATTACATATCGAAACACAGGATAGCTGTTCAAAAACAGTTTTATAACAAATTCATTTATTTTTTACCGTTGTCGTTTGAAAAAATAAATCATTCATGGGTTT